GACTGCAACTATTTTGATATATATTTATATATACACAAACTTACCGTATTTTTCGGCATTATAAATAGTTATGTTTTTAAAAGAAAGAAAAAACTAATATTGTTATAAATAACACATTCAATTGAACTAAACTATGCATGCCTTTTTAAATATATTTACACATGGCTTGTGTATATCGTATATATACATATATATTATTCATACCTTCGGTGTATAGGACTCAAGCAGATTTTGGGGTAAAAAGTGCGTCTTATACACCGAAAAATACGGTATATATATATATATGTATGTGTGTGTAATTTGATATTTTACGTATAATAGCTGAATAACTTCTTATAATAGACCAGTCTACTTGTGTCTTAGAACAAAAAGCTTTTCCCGCCAAACATCATACGCTGCCACTATGGGCGTGTACTAGAATGAACATCATACAGGTATTTATTGTATTATTCAGTGCAGGTTAGCCTGTTTAATACCTGGTGGAGAAAATCACTTTTTCATTTCATTATTCTCTAAACGATTTCTGAGTTTTTTAAAAAAGCAAGATCTTTAACCATTTCTGCTAATATTTGATATACTGACTGAACGGAACGACCTGTAAATATTTTGTTTAGACTGTTGCACAATAGATATTTTGTCAACTCAGAAGTGCCTTTTTTGTAATTAAATTCCAGAGAAAGAAAATAATTTAACAAATTACAGTGAAAATAAATAATCGCTAAGTGCACACACAAAAGTACTTTTTGTTTGCTCTTTTTTGCGTGTAATTAAGCACAAAGCTACACAATGGGTGATCTGTGCTCTGCCCACCTCGTGTATCGAAACCCGGTTTCTAGCGTTGTAAGTCTGCAGACATACCGCTGTGCCACTGGGGGCCCCCACACTTCATAAATTAAGAAATTGACTATCACATATTTCATTCTTTAAACGTAAATTAAACAACAACAAAAAAAAAACGTTAAATTTTCAGATTGTAGAAATCACAGCGTAAATATATTCTTATACATACAAATTATATATTTTAAAATCTGTTTGTATAGTTTCATACGAAATTAAAGGAGCACACCTTTTTTTTTAAGTAAACTCAATTTTTTCCCATATTTACAGCTATGATCGTGCTTTCTGGAGATGGTCCTTGAACAGAGCAGAAGTAGCCAGCCATTCGCTTTGGCTACAGGCCCAAATATCACAGTTAGGATACCACATCAGTCAGTACAACGACCTCTATCATCAGCTCCGGGCTAAGAAGAGCCCCGTCACTCTTCACACTTCACTACCAAATGAGTTCACACCCAGCAAACCAGTGGAGGAGAAACTTGAAAAGTCTATCGGTTCAAACGAATTGGATCTATTCCGTCCTGTTTCACGCAGAAATTTTGGAGGCGAATGTCATGTTACGGTCAAAAAGAACAATGAGTGTGCTGAAGCCATCAATAACCCTACACTAACAGAGAAATCATCATTTCCAGTGAACTACAAATACTCATCAACTCTTTCTTCTCGAAAGTCATCGTCACCAATATCTCGCGAAGTGTCTTCATCAAATGCCTTTTTAACAAAACCATTATCATCGTCAGCATGCAGTTCTTCTTCATATCTTCCTTCGTCGTCTACCGCGAGACCAAGTCATTTTTACATTAACAAAGATCCCTCCAAAGATGCCAGTAATACAACCATTGCTGATCATGCTAGTCGAACTGTTCCTCTGAAGAGCTTTCGAAAAAGAAAGCTAATAAGAATGTCTTCTTTGCGTTTTATGGATTGCAAGTCCATTACCGGGCTAGATGCAAGCTGTGACTGTTGTTCTTACCGCCAGAGTGAAATATTGCCTTGTATTTTGTGTTGTGGTTCGTCGCACTTTAACCCAAGGGGTGTCGATTTCTACATGCGTGAACAAAAACGTGTAGCCTTCTTTGACCGATCATTCCATCCAGTATTATCTTCCTCAGAAGGTAGGTGGGATTGCTGGAGTATGATACATCTTTATTTTATTTTCAAACTTTAGCTTAAGAAAAATAGGCTGGAGGGTATCTTCTTCTCTTTTGTTTGAAAAGGAAACTGAGATTTTATGTATTTTCAGCGTTAGCTTGATGGGCCACGGACTAGGAGGTTCAAAGTTCGAAATGCTGAAAACACTCCACATTTTCAGCTGTGGGGTGTTATGAAAGTGACAGTCAGTTTTGCTATTTGGTTTAGAGTAGCTATGTAGTTGGCAGATGTTGCTGACCTCTTAGGTGTACTTTGTTCAACAGTTATAAATGAAGGACAGCTATGCCTAAACCTTGGGCTCTCTGAACCTGGCCATTTAGTTTATGTATCGTATACGATGCCTTTTACGTTGAGAATAAACACCATTCAATTAACTGTATAAAATGATAATGATAATTGTGTAATATTAATTTTTATATGCTCTTGAGCTTTCACTTGGAATCGTTTGTTTTTCGTTGAAAATTGATTTTAATTTTTGTATAAGCGCAAAACTACACAATGGGCTATCTGCGCTGTGTTCACTACAGTTATCGAACCCCAATTTATAACGCATAAGCTCGTAAGCTTATCGCTGAGACACTGGGAGCGTTGAAAATTGTCATGAATCAATTTGTTTCGGTTAGGAAATGTTACTGAAAATTATACTTATTTGTTTACTTTTTATACGATGGCGTAAGTGGGTTATTGGGTTATAGGGTTTATTTTAAAACTATATTATTATTCTATGCAGAATTTATAAAATAGGTATTAAAATATCGTGAAGACTGTTTTGCTCTATCAAATGATAAAATTATAGTTATTGCTAGAACTAGGTAGGTGCTAGGCCTGTTGAAGAAAGATGATGATGAACGAAAATGAGAAATCTCGGTCTTGGCTATTAGCCAGTTTTCGACTTTGGGACGCTCTAGATAACTGAAAAGCGGCATATACACCGGAGATAGAGCGACTAGAGCTCTTCATATCTGGCTTCTGGGGACCTCTAGAGAAGAAAATCCAGATGACTTTTTTAGTGCTTTATATGAACGTCCGTCTCATCCCTACATAGAGAGTGCTAGTGCGCTTTCCGATTAAATTTATTCGGTGCTGGTATTACTATACCAACACAGATAAAGTTCGGACATGACCAAGTGGTTAACCGGCAGGACTGTAAGTCCTAGTCTTTGATTTGCGTCCCTTTGCCTCAAAATCACGTTCCGCACTTTCGGACCGTAGGTGTGTTTAAAAAAAAAGACGGTCAAACCTCACTGTTCGATTAGAGTACCCCAAGAATTGACTAGCTGCTCTCTCTCTAGTCTGTCAGTTCAAAATTAGGGACGGCTAACGCAGATAGCCTTTGTGTAGTTTTGCGCGAATATCCGGAACAAAGAAACAAATCAACGCAGAGAGCAATGACAAAGCAAAACAAGAAAACCAAGTTTATTAATTAATTCTTAACTGCCTTGTAAATAGCTGCTTTTTTTATGTAGCAACCATCGCAATGGACTCCAGAAGTATGATAAAATGGCAAGCTGGCAATGTGACCAAAGGTCTGCTTTTTTCTTTTCCTTTTACAACATCAATGTATATTCAGTTATTTTGTCGGATGTTTTATTGTCTACAGTAATTGTAAACGCGTCCAGTACGTGAAATGCTATTGTGTAAAACTTGCAGTAGTCAAGTTTTCATATTGTCTTTTATTTTTTAACATTTAAGTATCAAAAGTATTTTTTATCCAGTTAAAAAAATAAAAAAATTTATTAAAAATTATTTAGTCTTATTGTGATGTAGTGTTACACAAATATACGATCTCTACAGATGACGCTTCACCGACATAAGATGTTATATACAGTACTGATAAATATTGGCCATTTTGTTGCTATACGTTTATTTAGGCCTGTTCCTGTTAGTTTTATATATGCTTGCCACGATTTTCTCTCTGGGGAGGGGGGGGGGGGGTATGCTCACATACATCTGTGTGTACATTACATATAAATTAGAATAAGGAGAAGAAGTGGGAACAATAGTTGAGTAATGTTCGTTTGTAAGTTAAGCACAATGGGCTATCTGTGCTATGTCCACAACGGTTATGGAAATTCTATTTTTAGCGTCGTAAGTCTGCAGACTTACCACTGAGTCACTAGAGGGCTGATGTTAGTTGGAATTGTGCAACGGTAAAAACTATTACTAAGGAAATAAACTGATTTTCTGTGATAATAGGAGAGAGTATTATTAAAAGTAATGTTTTAGTCACAAAAAAAATTATAAAGGAATATAAAATATATTTGGTAAGCCTAAACTAAATTATTTTTAATATATTTTAACGTGTTTATGTAGAGATTGTATTGTATGTTTGTGCAACCTGAAAAATATGTATTTAATTCGTGTTATTTATGTTTAGTTGAAAAGTGGTACTTGAATGTTTTTATGTAAAATTACATCCCGAAGAGTGACCTTTGAACTCACGAAACCGGTGGAAAATAAATAAGAGGAAAAATAAAAGAAGGGTTAAAGAATGTAGTTATGTATATATAAGTTGATATGATGAAATTTGGTAGAGGAACTCGGGTAGACCCCGAAAAATCGAATTGGGCGAATAATTTGAGTTTGGCGGCCATTTAAATTTAATCACCTTTATGCCTCAAATGAGGGCTCAAGCGAGTGAGGAGTTCGGTAGCAAGGTGCGTGAAGCCGACGCCAAACGAATGTGTCTTTTAAAACTGCGTGTTGTACGTGTGGGTGGGTGGACGGTAGTATTCGTGTGTTACAACTCAAATTATTTAGTCCACGATCCCTCTGGTAGACTTTTCAGGTATCTTTGCTAGTATATGTAAATACGCAATGATTTGAAAAGAGGGTAAATTATTTTCGCAAGTTATTTCTGTGTATTTACGATAAGCATAATTAATAATAATTTTGTTTAATGGCGGTCCTAATTTGCTCTATTTTATTTATGTTTTCTTACGTTTTATTTTGGGGTCGAAAAAACGAACTGGTTAGAAGTAAATGGAAAAACAATGATTTATAAGCATAATGAATATATTTTTATGTAAAGAACGTAATACGTGTTTTAACAGAACATTGGATAAGTCGTTGTTTGTCAATTTACTATTGTATTAGCTTAAAGTGCTTTCGTACACAGGTATATTTAATCTAGGTGTTACTTCCTTGTTTTTTCTACATTCAACTTTAACCTCATTTCCGAGGTAGCCCTCGTCAGAGTACAGGAACATGTATATTTTGTGACTAATTTTATTATTAGTTTAAGATATTTCAAAAGATTCTCATAAAAAGAGTATTAAGTTTAGTAAAATTACGCTTTAAATTTATTATACAAGTTTAAGCTTATCAAGGGTGAGCAACACCATTTTGTTTCAATACAAGTTAGTCACGAGATGACCACGAAAACAGAATTAAGGACTGTTTGTTTTGTGTAAGTGCAGAGTTACACAGTGAGGCACCTGCGCTATATCTGTCGCGAAAAATCATATGTAGGCGGGAAGTCTAAATGTACAAGTATATATATATATATATATATATATATGTGTGTTTGTGTATATATATAAAGTGCCCTGAACGAGTGAAACCTCGATCATAACTATCGTGCAAGTGGTGCATGAAAAATTGGTAGCATTGCACATCTTTAGAGTTAGGTTTTGACGGGCTAAAGTGGAGATCTATTTTATGAAAACAAAAAAGCAGGAAAACATATTATTTATTATTAATTATAATCAACAAATAAATGTTTCTCTTGTGTTAGTCTGACGTATATTTATATATTTAGTGCTATGTACATTAAGTTTTAGTTCGAACTTTATTTCCATTCTTTAAAGCCTTTTGATAATAAGATTTATAAGTCCTTATTTTTTGCTCGTGTAAGATATATATACATACATATTTTTCTACCTTTGACTGTCTAAACAAGACTCGACTAGAACTTGAGATAATTTTTTCTGTTATGTTCTGCGGAAACAGACCGATAAGAAAACAAACTGGACCATAACATCTGATTGGCAAATACAACGTAAAAACACGTGAACAAGCTGAAGGACTGAAATAAGAAATAAACATTGTCATTGATGTTTTTCATTCCGTGTGAGCTATGTAATGAATTAATCCATGATATAACGTTTTGGAAATTTAATGTTTTTCTTCTATTAATTGTAGTTAGTTGATTAGTTTTTTCTTGTTAAATTTATTTACTAACATTTTTATCAAAACACACCAAGGTGGTTTAAAGGATTTTTTTGTTTCTTTACTAAGTTTGTCAAATTCTGTTGGAGTTGCGCCATAATAATATCGTGCTTCTTTTAATCTCTATATAAAACTCAAAATCTCTCGTATTGTTTGTTTGCGTGCATTCACTGCGCAGGTCACAATTCCCTCAGTAAAGGTGCGCAAAACGACAGTTTTTCGTTGATATACGCGTTTATCGTCTGCTAGCGAACCGGTAATTTTATCGTTAACATACATTGTACGAATAAATTCTATGCAGAGTTGACATGTTTTGGTAAGTTTGAGTTAACATTTAATTTAGAATATAGCATTATAGGCCTATTTAGTTATAGATAATTAACTATACATCTGTTAATACATCATATATTTAACCTCACACACAAAAGAAATATATACAGAATTAGAATGGTGTATGTGAAAAAGCAAAAAGTAGGCCTAGTCTATAAAATAAAATTATGCTGCCTACCATGAAATAGACTACGTGAAAAGAGTAAGGCTTACATTGTAATACTTTAATGAGATTAAAGTCACGTCAGCGTATGTATTTTATTCTACTTTTTTTCCCCTCTGGGTGGTTCATACCTGGAAGTGGATATATTTTTCTTTTGATACATTATAAAATACAATATTGCATTTTGTTTGTAGTATATTTCATACATCAATGTCATAATGTGAATACCGTATCACATTCATATATTAACTTCACATTTAAGCAAATTCAACATAATATTACATACATATTTATGTTTGA